CCTCATGGGGCACCCCTTGTCAAATACTAAGCTGAAGCGCTGAACTGACATTTAACGTAATCAAGAGCCACCTCAACTGCTTGACTGTAAAGCAAACTGAATCAAGCAAAGAGTTGCCTTAAAACTACATATACAATGAATTGAAACAAGGAGACTGGCCAAGGGGCATTTACAAGGATTGGATCTCAAGTGTCAAGGAAACGTCCTAGTGACCGTGGCTATGGCAAAGGAGAGCACAGGCTGAACCTAAGAAATTGTTGAGGATTTATTTTGGGGAAAGCGATGGGAGAATTAGGGGACAGAGGAGCATGGCAGAGAGGTACATGCTGTGTGGCCTTGGGCAGGGCACTAAACCTCTCTGATCCTGTTTCTCTATCTGTCAAACGAGAACAATAGTAATACCTTCGTGGTTGTTATGAGTATCATCTGAAATATTTGTCAAGTGCTCAGCATAGTGCTTAGCACAAATCAGGTGAGGTAACAGGATCAGGCAAACAGAGCAAAAGAGAAACAAGCCACAGTATCTGAGAGTCGTGGGCAGATAGATGCTGCTGGCGGGCAAGATGAGAGGTCCAGAGTCCACAGAGCTGCCAGCCACTGTGAGATCTGCCATCACATGCTGGGCAGGCAAAGAGTTGGGTCAGTGCTTCTCACCGTGGCTCTGCACCAAGCTCACAGCAGAACACCTCCGGCCCCTCAGAGATGCACGGGTGATTCTGGTGAGCAGTCACGGCTGTGACCACAGACCAGACCTGGGAGCCAGCATGTGACAGGGGCGGGACAGAAGGAACCCTGACCCCGTGCTACCCACCGCCCAAAGCCCCTCGCACCCCATCCCCCCAGTCCTGGAGAGAGATTGGCCCCCGTGAGCCAGCCTCCAGAGCCCCAGGTGATGGCCACCCCAGAAGACAGCTGGTCGGGGTTCAGGAACGGGAGCCAGGGGAGCATTGCCCTGAGGCCTCCTAGGAGAACTGTCTTGCAAGCACCTGGAGGTCTCGAGAAACTTACCCTATAGTGGAGACGAGACGTAGACACACATGAGGTGTGCCAGCTAGTGAACAGTGTTGTGAAGAGGAATAGACTAGGGGTAGAGAGTGAAAGAATTGTGGCCAGGGAAGCTCTGCACACTGACATGACATTCGGGCAGACTCAGGGCAATGAGTGTGGGCGCTGGGACGATGTAGGAAAGAACATTCCAAATGGGGAATATAAAGTGCGAGGGCCAAGTTCAAGGAGCCCCTGCGGCTGGGGCAGGGTGAGCCGCAGGGAGATGGTGGGAGGGGCAGGGCTGTGGGCACGTCTAACCATAAGTAGTTTTCAAGTTGGAGGAAGCCACTGAAACCTTGCCATTGGACACCCTGTTAATTCCCACTGATGTGATTTTTCAGTAACCAGAGCAGCTACCTACTAGTCCAGTTGGCCATATCACGTTTCCCTCTCGAACTTAAAATAGGTATAAACGGGTTAGTGACAGAAGAGGATCCTTAATAAACACGTTTGGTGTCCAGTGTTTGCATCTGCCAGACATGATCCCCAGAGAGTAAGAGAGGGGGGAGAGGGGGTAGAGCGCTCTCTCAGAAATAAAAGGACTCAGAATTTGAAAGGTTTTTGTACAGGCTCATGGCTGTGAGTTCAAACTCCACCTACTTCTAGGTACCAACATTAAGAATAAATACCATCACCTGCGGCCGGGCGGCTCAGTTGGTTGCAGCGTTGTCCCGTACACCAAAAGGTTGCAGGTTCGATCCCTGGTCAGGGCGTGTATGGAAGGCAACCAACTGATGTTTCTCTCTCCCTCCCTCTCTCTCTAAAAAATCAATAAAATTTTAAAAAACCATATCCTCAGGTGAGGATTGAGAAAAAGAAGAAGAAATACCATCAGAAGCAAGATTAAAGGAATATATAAAACATATCCCTTAATATTTAGTATTGATGAACTGTTTTCAATTACTTTTCAATGTCTTCTAGTATTTGCACCGTCGTGTCCCCCCCCTCCCCCCCC